TTCACTTGAAATTAGATCTTTATCATATAAAACATTTTCAAAATCATTTTGGATTATATCGTCATCATGCATATTTCGATTTTGTAATGTATTTTCAGAAAATGATGTTGAAACAAATGTTGATTCCATAGTTTTATGAGATTCCATTATAATATCTGTTTCCATTTTTACCATCTTTCTTCGTTGTGAAAAACTAAGTACGCGTTTATACGAATGTTTATGCGACATGGTAAATTTGTCTTCCTGAAAACAGTTTAGTATATTGTATTAAAAGTTACAAATTAACAACTGGAAATAAAAAATTAATACTAGAAAGTAAGAATGAAACACAAATACATTATTTCTAATTTTAACTTATTGTACTAATATAACAGTGCAGCAAAAAAGAACAGACCAATCAAGATTGAGCGAGTGAGATAATAAAAGAATATTTATTATTTTACAAGAAAAATATGTAATTTGATTGAGAACGGAATATACATACTTGTATATAGACTTAGAAAAATTTCAAGATGCGATTGGTGATATTGCCAGACACGAGATATATTCTCAAACATTAAAACACAGCCTTCTGCTAAAAATCCGTCGAAGCTTTTATTATTGGATCACGAGATTTGCAGGTTGCAAACAATTGGAAGTTATTTAAATATATAAGCACAAATATTTAAATTTTTTACAATGTAAGCAAAATTTGGTTTTTTTAGATGTTATAATAAAATCAGTGGTACAGACTAGTAATGAACATCAAAATAGAAGCAATTATCTGTGATGAACTTATCAGATAATACATTGGTTTCACAGTTTTTAAACATTATTAGAGAGCAGAAGACAAAAATTCAAAGACTAAATCAAGGTAATAAATTTCTTATGAAAGAAAACCGAAAACTGGAGATAGTGAGCAAATTTCTTTTAGAGAAAAACTTTTAGTTCCAACGATAACAGAATATCTATATAATAATAAATTTATTTATGTTTTGTTATTGATCATTAAGTGTCTATATTTTACATAGATACTCGGATACGTATTTTTATTGCTAATTTTTCATTATTTTTACTTGCAACAAATTGTAATTATAGATAAAGTATATTACTTCTAAAAAAACTTATGTAAAATTCAATTAGTAATATCTTTAATTTTAAATAAAATTCAAGTACTACTTACCACTATCTAATTCAATGCAAGATAAGTTTTTTTCAGAAAAACTTTGCTCAATTTTAAGAGCATTGATTATTAAGTCTCAAAGATACTGCAACACAATTGTAACCTAAAACATAAAAATTATATAAATAACGATATTGCTATTTTCACTTAATATTAAAAGTGCATTGAAACATTCTTCTGTCCCTTCTTTCTTCATTGAAAAAAGGACTAGAGGAATGCTTTGAAGCATTTATAGTTTGAAGTGGATTGCAACTTATGTCTTATACCTAAATCAATAGAGTAGGTACATTGACATTGTATGGTTTGCCGGTCACCAGTGATTGCGGTGTGATATTGACATACGAAGCAAGGCACATATTTTACTTATTTTTCATTATTTTGTGTCGCTATCTGGATACGCGTTTTCAACCTGCCCGGATCGGATATTGCGGTTATTGAATGCAGATAAATTTTACTTGTTATATTTCAAAGATTATATTGTGTAAAAAGTAGCTGGCAATATTATACAAACGCAAACACATCCTTTTAAAATGTAATAAAATGTTGAACGAAAAATTTGTTTTTATATGTTGAAACGGTAATTGTTTTCTTCGAAAATATATAACCTATACTTTTCAGTTTTGCGATATTAAAGGAATATAAGCAAAATGTAACCGATAAAAAAGTTATTTTATTGTATATAATGTTGTGCATAATATATGAGCTGATTGTAAACAAGATAAGGATTACCTTCGATAAAAATAACGTACCTCAAGCGTTTTCCTCGAGGCGCACAGGTAAAGAAGGTTAGAGCCAGACCGGAAAAGATCGGGACAGCCGGACAGTTGGGACTGCGTTCCGACGGTTCTGGCCATGATGTAAGTATAAGGCTGGATTCACATGGAGCGTAACTTGCGTAGCACTACAGCAGTGTCTTGCCGGAACGCACTCTCAAGCCCAGTGTAATTTTAAATGTAAAATTTTAGTCATGCATGAAACACAGTATTAAAAAATGGCTCACTTGTTCTGTTAATTTACCGGCTATTATTTTTCAAAAATTAAAATAATGGAAATAACCATTTGAAAAAGAACTCCCTATAATTACCATATGGAAACATGATTTGTATCTGTAATGATATGAGGTATAGTACGTGTCACCGTTAAAATAATATATGTTCAGGATATCCTGAGGACTCTCGTAGGATATCCTGAGGACTCTCGTAGGATATCCTGAGGACTCTCGTAGGATATCCTGAGGACTCTCGTAGGATATCCTGAGGACTCTCGTAGGATATCCTGAGGAGACTTTCGTAGGATGTCCTGAGGACTTTCGTAGGATGTCCCAAGGAAACTTCTTATATGCTATGTGGACACTTATGGAAGATTTTTATTTACAACAGTATTTAACATTCTAGAATTATTTCTGAAGTAAGTTTTATACATAAAATATTTATATAAAATATTTACAGTAATACAACTATGTCCTGAAAAGATCCCAGGACATCCCGGGACATATTCAGGATGATCCTGAGGACGTCCTGTGCTATTTGGGTAGTTCGACCACTCTTGAAGATGTCGTCGGTAAGACGGGGTATGTTGTAGGAAGGGGCCAAGACCCGTTGGGTCATCGTGATTTCCAAGAACAGCGGATGATAAAGGTGACGATAGCGGGTCAAGTAAGCAATTATAGGTAGTTGTTATATGAATCGGAGTCATTGCAAGCCTTAATTAAATTTTTTTGTGCAAATTGCAGGAAACTTGCCTCCGGAGTGATAATAGATATATTTCTTACACCTCGAATCGTACCTTTTGCGCCAATTCGTTAGACGAAAAAAACGGTCTTTGTGACGGTGACTCGGGGAACGCACTGGTGCTGCTGAACAACCACACAGGCCGTTATGAGTTACGCGGTCTTTATTCGGGAGGTTTAGCTAGTGGAAATACCACTTTGCTCTGCGATCCACGGTTATACGATATCTACGTTGATGTAGTCCATTTCAAATCTTGGATTCAACGACAGATTTTAACGCTGGTCTTTCGCCACAAAATTCAATAGCGACAAGTTTCTTGAATGCAAAGTTTATCCGAAGTTTAGCCAGGGCACTTAAGTAGAGTAACACGTGAGAATTAAACAGTTAGGAATTTTACTTTCGATTGTTTAGAGTAAACCAGGGTATTATGGCCTATACGGAAAAGTTAATAGCTTGTTATTTCTTTAATAATCACTAAACAGTACGTTTCTCTAATCATTCTTGATAATAATCGATATTTAACGTGGTTTATGTGTGTAGTATGAAAGTGTTAATATCGTACCATGTTTTTCACTTTTGACTGTCTGCACAATTTTCACGAAACATGGATTTACTACAAACTATTAAAACATAGAAAAATGTACAGTTATTTTAACCAACGTTAGACACATAACAAAGATATGTCAATTTTTGTGTTTGTTTTCACTATTTTTCCGTTTTTCTATCCCGTAATACTGTAGCTATCTTTTCTTTACAAGTTTGGAAAAATGATGAACGCTCATGTTGTAATATTTTAATAATATACAAACGTTTTACAAAGTTTTTTTCCATGCCGATAGCATTACGGGTAAATATGCAGAATAGGTCACACCTCACCGATTTCCTCGCCACTTAGGTATGTTGTAGGGGAGAGTTTTCTGAGTAATTCCCCGTAAGAATCAAGTGGGGGACGGTATTGATTTAGGAGATATAACAAATTGAAAACTAAAAATTTTAATACTTTTCTTAGTAATTTTTATTAAAATGCCTGTGTAGCTACCTTTAAAATCATAAAAAAACTACCGTTTTCATTTACAAGGTCACACCTGCCACCAATCGGTACGGGTTGACACACACACGCGCGCGCGCGCGCACGCTTAATTCTTCTCGCGGCGCAGACTGACCGTGCAAGCGAGATTCACTCTACACCTCAGACATGGTTTGGGTATGGTTATATTTTAACGAAGTGGAGCCCCCCCGAAGGGGGGGGCGGAACATACTGTCTCCACGCATGTACTTCCACCATTGTACTGTTCCACATGGGTTTGCAACTTTCCACGTGAAGCGAGATCCACTCCACACCTCTGACATAGGGTGGGTAGGGTTATTTTTAACGAAGTGGAGCCCCCCCGAAGGGGGGGCGGAACATACTGTCTCCACGCATACATTTTTCTACCCATATATAAGTCACTCCCCTCCACCAAATGTAGATAGAAAAATGTATGTGTGAAGACAGTGTGTTCCGCCCCCCCCCTTCGGGGGGGCTCCACGTAATTAATAATAACCCTACCCACCCTATGTCAGAGGTGTGGAATGGATCTCGCTTCACGTGGAAAGTTGTAAACCCATGTGGAACCGTACAACGTGTGGAATTAGTTTTGCCCTTCCCCCGCCCTTGCTCTTTCTTTACCTGCGTTCAATACTGAAGGTAAATAGAAGCATTTATTGTACATAGGATGTCAGAAAATTATATTTTAGTGGTTAAACATTTTTGTTTATAACTTTTTAATAAACACCGACCGATGGCAAAAACTTCTTGAAGGTCACTCAGGGTCATGATCTTGACAACATATGTCAAGATCAAGTTGATTTGGTTGACCTTATCTAAATATTTACCAAAAAATGTATTAAAAATTTCAGATTTCAATTTGTTATATCTCCTAAACCAATGCCGTCCCCCACTTGATTCTTGCGGGGAATTACTCAGAAAACTCTCCCCTACAACATACCTAAGTGGCGAGGAAATCGGTGAGGTGTGACCTATTCTGCATATTTACCGCATTACGTACTTTAAGCTTCAGTGAAGTTGTAACGATACGTCGCCGCCTCTCTCTCTTCCCCGGTACTGAATTCCGGACAGGACTCCGGCGGGTGTCAGTTATTACGCGAATAAATGCGAAGCTTGGTCGGACGCGCGGTTCCGACCAACGGTCGAAAGAGTCGGCGTTCGTTCGGTCGGTGTTTGACGTGCTGTGTAACGGAAAAAGGGATCCTCCGTTCCTCCTATTTGCCGAATATGCTCAGCTCCAGGGCCGTCGGGAGGAAAAGAGGACAAGATCTTAATTACTTAGTAGAATCAATCGCTTGGGAGGATCGGAAATAAATCGGACAGGTGTTTAAAGGTGAAATTGATATGAACAAGGTTTATTCAGGAATGAATACAATGGATAGCGTGGTAATTACAATGGGTCCGCCCTAGAGTAAAAATATAAAGGAAAGGAAAAAGGATTAATATTACAGTGAGTCCGCCCTGTGGTTAAATACAGAGAAAACAGGATATGATTAATCGGAATTAAACTCGGAATACGGAAACTATGATTGATTACAATACGAATGAATACGAGTACGGAAATAAATGAATACAATACGGATTTTGATCGGAGTACGGAAAATACGGAATCACACGGAAAATAATAAGTACAGTACGGATTGATAACGGAGTACGGAAAATACAGAGTACAATACGGATCTATGACGGAACACGGAAAATACGGAATTACACTGGTAACTGGAAACAGTCAGACGGGATGACTGCACGGACCCCTTTATTCTGCAAGGGAAGAAACAATACGGGATTAATACTACGGAGCTTACTATTAGAGCTAACGGAAAAATACTCTTTCCCACCCGAATATTACCCCCCTGAGTTCTATACCGGTCAGGAATCAGGAAAAGGAATCTGGTCAGGGAAGGATCACGCCCGAGCGGCGCCTCGTGATGCGTGAATTTTCAGTAGGAATTGTACACCGAGGAGCACCCCGTTAGGTGTACGCTACTGCGGAATCACTCCGCCCCGCGAATCACGGCGGTACCCGTGCCTTCGGGGGAAACGGAGTCAGGACGGAACAGGAGACCGGTGCGGAGAAATTGTAGCATGTGTACGCCGAAGAGCACCCCGTTAGGCGTACGCTACTGAGGGACGGGGCCCACAACGGAGAAGAGCCTCCACTGTGCTCCGGTTCGGTATATAGCCGGAGACAGGAGCACCCATTCAACTCCGGCTTATACCTGCAGCGGAGGTACCCGCAGCCCGGTGTTGACGGTCGGAGCACCAAGCGTCAACTGAGTTAAAGCGCCTGCTCCGGAGGGGCTTTTATACCCCCCGGACGGAGGCGCGCGGGGTGAGGCGGCGGGGGCGGGCGCGACGTTGCCGGCTGCCGTCAACGCGTGGCAACCGCGCGTTATCGATTTTCTCCGGCTGGCTTCGACGCGGCAACCGCGCGTTATCGATTTTCTCCGGCTGGCTCTATTGCCTTCTCTCTCGCTCTAGGAATTCGGGTTTTTTCTACCGGCCGCGCCTCCCCGGTCGCCCTCGTTACAAAGTAATGCCATCAATATGTTGATAATTATACGCTATTAAAAAACAACAAAAATAAAATTACATTTTTTGCATTTTAAAAACCACGGCCATCATACTCTAATTTACCCAATGCCGATTATTTTTGTTGTAATGTGTCTCTAATCTGGACACAAGACAGAATACATAAGTAATGTTGCGACGTAAATATAGTGGGCCCACTACAAAGCCTTGCCGAGTGAGGCTTCTGGAAAAAACCAAGCGCGCTTCGGGCCTTTGATCAAGCGCTCAAGTCTTCCGATAAGTAAATAATAGAGGAATATGCTTTAAGTCACCAGTGATGTATCTTCCGATAAAGCTCGGGTCATCGACCCGAGACAAAGGCGAATCGGATAGCGCTTGTTCTTTGACGTTCGAAGCCGCGACGGTCAGTTATCACAAGGAACTGCGGATATACAGGGTGTCGGATTCGATATGGACGACTCCAAAGATTATAATAGATTGGGTTAAACTGAGAAGAAAAGTTATATACGA